AATATTTTTATCAACGACATTGGTGACGCTATAAATGTTGATTATTTGCTGTATGCTGATGACTTAAAAATATATTCAGCTATTGAAAATATTTCTGACTGTGAACAGTTGTCGGAAAATTTGAACAAAGTTGTTGAATGGTGCAACAAAAATGGTCTTACACCGAATCCCGTCAAATGTAACGTAATGTCATACACATTAAAAACGCATCCAATTATATTCGATTATGTCCTTGATGGACGTTTGCTTTCTAAACCCAACAATTTTATGGATTTAGGGGTTACATTTGACCCAGTATTGTCGTTTAAATACCACATAGATAACATCTCAACAGCTGCAAATCGTATGTATGGATTCATAGTACGAGTGGGCCGTGATTTTAAAAACACAGATTTAAATCATTGTATTTCTCATTTGTTCGATCTAAACTCGAATATGCCTCGTTTATTTGGGATCCTTATTATCAAATACACATTTGTCGGATAGAGTCCACACAAAGGCAAGTTTTCGGGCAGACCAAATTTATCCACCGATTGGTATTACTCAAAATGCTTTACTGACTAGACACAGATTGACAAGTCTCGACGTAAGACGAAAGTACTTCTCCATAATTACCCTCTACAAAGTTGTTAATTTTAAAATCAATTGTGAAGCTCTTTTACATATGCTTAATTTTAGAATCCCATGGGCAACCTCTTGAAACACTGAATCATTTTACATAGCGACTCCTCGGACAAACGTTCTGAAGTTTTCACCTGTATATAACATGTGTAATAATTATAATAATATTAGTGAACAGTTGGATATATTTAATTGCAGTGTTAAAAACATAAAAACACATTGTTTAAAATAATTTAGAATTTATTTACTGTAATTTTAGATTAATTATCTATATGCTTTTTGTTAAACTGTTTTCTTTCAAATGTACTCCTGTTCTGTAATTGGGTTTAACCTGTTGAACAATGTATAAATAAATAAATAAATAAATAAATAAATAAATAAATAAATAAATAAATAAATAAATAAATAAATAAATAAATAAATAAATAAATAAATAAATAAATAAATAAATAAATAAATAAATAAATAAATAAATAAATAAATAAATAAATAAATAAATATATCTAATTCCATATAAAACTAAATGAAATGTATATGGAGGTCCGAAGGAGATACGCGGAGATCCATGGAAATTCGAATGTTCTCCCAGAGATCCCTGGAAATTCAAATGATCTGAGGGAGATCCAAGGATTCATGGATTTGGAGTTACATGAAGTTAAATGGAGATTTTCTGTCCTAAAAAATCGCAAGTGACTACCCCCTCAGATATACCTTGCGAAAAAAGGCCAACTTAAAATATAAATAATACCATTATATTGTGATAACATTTCCCTTAGAATTTATAAAAATTTTGGTTGTTTTTATTAGGTAAATTTTTACCTCATATATTTTTAGTGCCAAGTCTAAGTATTATGTTTTAATAATTATAAATATTTTAGTTATTAACCTAAGTCCTAAGTGATATTTTTTTTTACAAAATGAGACAGGTAGGTAATTAAATAATATTCCAACTCTTTCTTACTTCTGGTTGAACAATCTGTATATTCCTCAACTGAACCCTAGGAGATCGATTTTCATCATTCCACACAGAATTATTTTCATTATTAGAGTTCCCACTACAAAAGTTACTCCAGTTCATAGAATTTTGTGTCCTCAAAGGGGGCAAAACATAGAGCATGATGAATATCACACCGCGAACAACCGCAAATCAATTTAAGTGATTTGTTTGATGATTGATTGTTTCATTCATGCAAAGGTTATTTAAGAAGCATTATTAGGAAACTTTAAGTTTGTATTTCTAAATATAGCAAGTGTTTTTTAGTCCTGATAACCTGCACCTCTAAACATCCAATCAAAACTGACAGAACTGAAAGAAGCAGCTGGTCTGGTTATCACAAAACAGTGATGCCAGATTTTCAAAAAAAATCTAGTGACCATTAATTAAAGGGTTTGGTGACATAACGGCCCACATAAACATGAAAGTAACTTTAGGTGGTTTTGGGATAACTGAAAGTGTAGTGATATACATGAATTTTTATTTAAAAACATGTGACGGTTTTAAATTCAAGCGAAGCAGATTTTTGGTAAAACTAGTACCTACACTCATTTTTTAAACATTATTTGATCAGTTTTTGGCATAAATGCTCCAATTTAAAATTAGTAGATACCTACACATTTTAAAATAAATCAATGCTAGATAATTCCAAAAGAAATAGATACATGAAATTTTATATAAATGACATAATTATCATTTTTGTAAAGTATAATCTATGATACTTTGTACAATATAGATTTGTTTACTAAAAAAAGCCCTTGCAGATGCCATGTACCAATACGATTTTATAGCACCAGGACATATCTAAGTAATATTTCATGAAGTAATTATTGAAGTTTAAAATTTAATTATAACATTCTTTCTCCTAAGGATACCAGCTTAATTGGTAAAACATCTGTGGAGGTTCTACAAAAACAGTTAAACTGCCTTTTTATAATTTATTATAGGTACACCAAAGGTTTCATTTCTGTTTATGTACTTAGATAATTTGAAAAATAAAAATGTCTGACAAAATTGAGGACAGAATACCTAGTTAATACAATAATTGCTATAGTTCAATCACTTATAGATAGAGAAGGGGAAGGGGTATATGACGAACGACTTCAGCTAATTCTCAACCAGAATATAAAGTCTCAGAAATACTCCATTCGCTTTCTTTATTGTTTAAATGTAAAATGGATGAAACAAAAAGTTACTAGATTTTGACATGTCCTGGATTAATTGAGACATCATGTTATTATGTCAGGTGGCAATTATCAAAATAATTTTAAATTTGTCAATTTGTTAAAAATAAAATATGTATTTCAGACTTGGTCAGAAGCTTTGAATAATGTTACCGATACTCAATGGGACAATTATGTAAGACATACTACAAATATAATTGTTTTCAATTGGGAAAAATACTAGCAATTAATGTTTCTGATCTAAAACCAAGTATTATTAATTTAGGAACAATGGCAAGATATTGATTAAAAACATTTATATAAGATATTCAATAAATATTTTCTGTGCCTCTTGTTATAATATATTTGTTTAACAAAGAATCTGGTTCAGGAATGTGCACCTATTTGGATTATCCGAGGGATTATCTTTAAAAAACTCTAAAAATGCTAAAACCAATGTTCAGCTGGGAAATTTATTTATAAAGTACGAATGTAGATAGTTCTAGTATGAAAAACGTAATCTTAATTTTTTTCAAAGTGATTTCTTGTATTCCTGTAAACGCACCTTAATAAAGTTTATGCTGCTAAGCAAAAATGAAGAGAAACTGTAACTAAAAATGCGATTACTCTTTTGTCAGAGGACTTGGGGTATTTCTATCACTTTACCATATTTAGGTGCGTTTTAATCATCCGTTTCTGCTTCCGGAATTGACGGTTTAGTCGTTTTAACCTGTTAGATTAAAACAAGAAAACCAACAATTCCGAAGCAGAGGTGGATGATTAAAAAGCACCTTTTATATATCTTGTGTGGGAGAAGTGAATAGGTACCTTTCAAGTAGCAAACTAAGTCTAATTTATCAAAATACAAGTAAAATTTCTTTAAAAATGTACCTAAGGACCGATTCCACCCTTGTGTTAAAGGAAGTTTAAAATGACATTTTTACATTAACAATGTCATTTTAATCTCCCTTTAACACAAGGGTGGAGTTTTACTATTGCAAAAAGTTTTTATCCAAAATTAATTAAATATGTGAAAAACTCTAATTGTGGCAACATGGTTCCAGATGGGAAGGCAGTACATCTACAAGAAAACAAAACGATCGATGATTTGTCTTATGCCAACCATATAGAATAAAAATCCCTATTTCGTTATTGCCTTTCCTTTTGTAAAATTTTAAAATAGAAGAATATTGTGTTAAAATAAAAACATAAAACATACATATTTCTCAAAATGCAGTTCATTATTAAAATTATATAAAAAGGATAGCATAAGCTGCGGCCCAATTTATTAACTATAGTAGTAAAAATACTTTTAGTTGCATTTTTTTTTGTAATTGTTCTTACTTATCTACTTTCATTAGAAAATGTCGTAAATTAAACAAAATCAAACGACAAAAAAGATATAAATTTAATGGCACAAATTTGTTTACTTTAGGTGTGATTAACATATCTATTAGTTTAGATAAAGAGTAATTCCAAAAGTGGTTCTGTAAGAACTTAGTTTAATCATTTAAATAATTGTATGAACTATATACAAGTAAGTTTGACTAAATAAATAGATTCCCAAAATAGTGTGTGGTAAAAGAGAAACAATCAACTTACGTCAATTGGTGAATTATTGGAACTGGGACTCCTTTGCACAGTCACTAATGCCATAATACGGAAACGTCACTTTTTAATAACAATTTGTTTATAACTCACTCAAAATAATTTCGCGAAGATACACCACACACTACATTATTTTGAACAACAGGACGCAATAATATAAACGCGAAATTTTCCGAGTTTTTATTTTTCATTCATTACAACAGGAACTGAGAACAAACAACATCACTTTTGCACTTTTTTATTTTTTATCTCATTATCTCATCTGTTATGATCTGTTCTGTTTCGTGCATTGTGCTGCCCCTATAGTTCCCAATCAAAACTTATTCATGACAAGAGGGATTCACAAAAGAGCTAGTACATATAAGGATATATTTTTTTATTTCAAATATTACGAAATTTAGAGCAAATATAAATAACGAAAAATCCTTAATAAAATAAGTAAGCCTTTATTTAAACAATTTTTAACTTCAACAAATTCAGGTATGCCATTCACATTTCAAACGTTTTATTTTAGCCAATAAGATGAATGGTTATTGAACATGAATATTTAGCTTTAGCAAGTAAATTGTCATCCATGTGTCATTCATGACAGCTCTTAGATTGTCAAGTGCCAACTGTTAACAGTGTTAACCTCAAAGTTAAAATTTTATAGTTTTATTTTTTATTCATTGTTGGGAATTCGAAGTTTGTTTCTATAAAAAAGTTTGGTATTAAAGACAAATAGTAATAATTAAATGACCCAACATGAGCAAAATATTCACTCCAACAAATCAAATCCGATTAACAAACGTTGCTGTAGTCAGAATAAAAAAAGCTGGAAAAAGGTTTGAAATAGCTTGTTATAGAAATAAAGTTGTTTCATGGAGAAATCAAGTGTAAGTAGAGTATATTTATAAAGGAGCACCTAAATCTGCTCAATATTTATTAGAATTTTATTAGAGTTGAAACAAAAATATGAATACTGCAAAAAAAACTATTACTTATTTATTCTAAAACCAATAAAAACTTAGCAAATGAAGATAATTATTAAAAAATGTAAATGTCTAGTTTGAGCTATTTTCAATTACGTAAAAACTACTACTTGTAGGTATTCTATTGTAAACAAAAAAACCTAAGTTCCATATCTTGTGCAAATGAAGAATAAGGACACAAATTCTTTTTTTTTTTTTAATAAACATGCAATTTTTTCCATTAATTTTATAAATTTAATGGGAAAAGGAGTGAATAGGAGTGTTGGGTGGGTAAAACAATGTCAATAATAGTTATAATAAATATTTTGTTAGGTCAAGGAAAATTATTAGACCTGAATTGCTGTACTTTTGATAGTAAATAATTGAATGATAAACTTTTTGTGCGACTTAGCAATAGTGTGAGATGTAAAAGTAGTATCTCTGAGCTTTGATTTAAAACAATTTGTGAAATTCTTTCATTTAAAAAAATTGTGTCATTATTAATTTGCACAAGATATGGTACTAAGATTTTTTGTTTAAAATAGTGATACCTACAAGTAATTATGCTTAGTTTCTTCATAGGTGAAAAGAGCTCAAACTAGACAAAAAAAAGTTAAGAAAATCTATAAAAAATAAAAAATGTACCTAAAACAAATTAAATATGGGTAGTTTGTTTTATATCCTACAGGATATAGTTCAAAAAAAGAATTAAAACAAATTTAATACAGCAAATATGGTCACACTGTGTTCATGCCACTTCACATACAATAATCCCCAAATACTTTATTTTTGAGACTGATTTAATTTTTTTTATTTTCAAGTATAATGAAAGAGTATTGTGGGTGGGTTGATACTGTTAATGAAAAATATATATAATAATTTTTTTTTATTCAAAGATAGTTCGTATTTAGCCAATTTTTACTCTAGTTAAGCTAGTTATCATCTTGTTTTTAACATAATTCCAGTCTACTCCATCAAAAACTAAGATGTATTGTTAGCAAAGCAAATTATTGTTCCCTCAGTATCCATTCCCAGGAGTGAATTTAGGTATACGACAAACAAAATTGGTTCCAAGACCATTCCTTGGGGTCGATTCTCGACTCGTAGGAATATTTTCCTATAGGAATTTTTGACATTTTTATATACATCGAAATTTTATGACATTTCCCTACATATAGGAAAGTGTCACAAATTCCTATAGGAAAAGGTTCCTACAAGTCGAGAATCGAGGTACTCCAATCCCTATTTCATGTCTTTCTCTGTATGTGCCATTTAGTTTAACAAGTTAATATCTGTTTTTTAAATATCAAATACTTTCAACGCATAATGCTCAAGGGAATTTAGTAGCCTCTTGTGTGGAACCATGTCAAAGGTCAGATCTAAATAAATCTGCACATTTCCTACCAGTGTTAAGGTTTTTCATTATTTTTCCTGTAAATTCATATATTGCATCCTTGGTACTACAACCTGCCAAGAATCAGAACTGATTTTTATGCAAAATGTTACATTGATTTAAGGATAAATGTATGTATATTGTATAAATATGTGTATAAGCTAATATTACTTTATGTCTTTAGCACATACAGGTGCTTGCACCCAGGTGCTACATTTTAATTTCAGTTTACTTAATTAATTCTGTTTTAGACATTTTTCAAAATGTTCAGCATAACCGTATATCAGATGATAGTTTTTTTGTCTGTTTTTGTGTGTAGGAACTAGGAACTATTACTGTCGATTTAAAGTGAGTAGGAATTGCCCCTATTTCAAAGCATGAATTAAAGATATGGGTTAGGGGTATGAGTTTTTTAATTATATTTGTTGGTATATCATTGTATCCAGGAGCACTGTTGGTTTTTTAATGCAAAGATGTGAGTAATTAAGCACTTAATGTACACCATTATTTAAAATTCTGGTCAAAAAATTATTGGATTTTTTTTTAAATGAAAATTTAGTGTTTATACTTATTAAAATAAAAAATATATATATACAGGGTGGCTCACGCTCAACGGGACGGAGCTTTATGGGAAAACGACCAAAGATATAAAAAATTCGTTTGGGAGGAATACGTAGGTTACAGACGGCTACAATTTAAAATTTGTTAGATGTATACAGGATGTCCCACATAAGAAAAAAAATTAGTTCATTAAAAATTATTCAAACAAGAGTAAACAATTAATTTCTGGGAGACTTTTTTTCCTTAAAAATTCAAATAAATCGAAAACTAATAATAATAGTAATAGGGAACCTTTAGTTAACTGACATTATTTTTGATGTAGTTTTTAATTCTAAAATAAAAAACAGGGTGTTCCATTAAAAATAATATAACTTTGCATATTTTCTCTTATGTGGGACATCCTGTATACATCTAACAAATTTTAAATTGTAGCCGTCTGTAACCTACGTATTCCTTCCAAACGAATTTTTTATATCTTTGGTCGTTTTCCCATAAAGCTCCGTCCCGTTGAGCGTGAGCCACCCTGTATATTTTCAGTGACGAAACAACTGTACTTTACTTAATGTGGGGGGGGAATTATTTGTATTTTCTTAAATATTATTTGTTTATGCATTTCATATCCTTATATGGTGAGTGTATACCTATTATAAAAATATATAAGGGGCTTATATATTACTTTACCTTAATAATTATCAGTGGCGTACTCAATATTTTTTTACTAGAGGGGTAGTCAGTATTTATTGTTGTTTATATAGGAGACAAAATTAGTTCAAAAATATTTTATTGACATATATGTAGAAGTATTTATTAAACCACACTTGAATCTGAAACGAGCGAACAAAAATTTGTGAGTAAATATAATTGTTGACCATGTCCCAGTTAATCGCGTACAAAATTGCCAGTATGACGCGCTCGTCTCTGACGCGGGCATGTACGTTAAGTGGTTAAGTCATTTATTTTTATTGGGAATAGAAAAAGAAGTGGATTGGGGTATTTCAACTCGTATGTTCGTCTGTATCTGGAGTATTTTTGCCATATCTAGACCAATCCAAGAAAAGTAGTAGTTGCAGTATTTATTCGTGTTATCTTTAAATTATGTGCTGTCATCTCTGTGAATTATAATTTGTTCATGTGTAGCTTGGTTTTCATTTGTACATTCCTTTATAATATGATATAATTTCTTAATGTTGTTTTTGTTGATTTTATTTTGGTAAAATTCATTTTTTTGTTTAATAATTAGCTTTTTTAAGATAATTTCGATAAGATTTATATTCTTTATCTAGTTCTGTGCTATAATTTTTTATTAGGTTTCGTTTTAATTTATCTCTGTGTTTTATAGATGTTATTAATCCATTCGTTATTCAATTTTTTCGTTTTTTGTATTGTTTTAATGTTGTTATAGATTTTGCCTCTTCTAAGGCTTTTTTAGACATATAACTAAAATATTCATTATAGACTGTATCTAGTATATTAAACTTTGTATCACCTACTAGTAGTTCTATGTTATTCAAGTTTCCCAGTGAAATTAAATGATCATGACTATCTTTTTATAAAATCTGCCTTTGGAATTGGTGGTGGTTTATATATTGCATTAATATTGGTACACTGGTTTTTGGCATCTCAATTTATTTCAACTCAACTATATAACTGATAACATTAAATGCATAACGTCTATCATGAAACTGAAAACTGACGTCAGGATCATCGACTTATATAGCTTGCCTTCTCGAACTGTCCAGATTTTTCTTGACAAGGAATGACATTTCCAGATATTTCTGGACCATTATATCTTCTTTTACTCGTAGTTATACTTACGACGACCGCAGTATACTCTGTATGGAGATGGGTGATATTGCACTTCTTTTTGTATTCGTATGTTTCCTATAACAGCCGCAGGCTACGGCATGGTGCAGGGTTACATCTATTGAAATAGCCCCTACATAAAATTCTAATCGCCCTAACATTACTTTAGATAATGCAAATTTTAAAATAGAGAATTCACTCTTGATATCATTTCTGACTAAGATCAAAACAATTAAATTTCAATTTATTTATGACAGGATTAATTATAGTAATAACATGATTAATTACAACAATAAACAAATTATAAATTAATCATAGGTAAATAAGTTAGCACCTAGGTGTGGGCACCTGTATGTGCTAGACAGACTAAAAAACTAATACATAAAGATTAAAAAACTAAAATATAAAGTTAATGTATTTTTATATAAATGTTAAATGTAATAAGGCAGCAATGTTATATTATATAATATGTAATAATGTTATAATCTTGTAATCTACAGGGTTCCAACATATTACAGTGAGATGTGTGTTATTCTAAGAAGAATCTATACAATTTTGAGTAGTTTTGGTAGATGAAGGATTTGCACGCTTTCTTAAATAAATGTTGTTTGTTAATTAATTTGATCTCAGGAGGTAAAGCATTGTAACACTTTGGTCCTAAGTAATTTACACAATTTTTTAAAGATTCACTATTAGGCATAGATATTTTAATATTCAAGTTACTAAAAGTTCTTGTTCAAATTACATTTGAACACTTACGCAATAATACATTGCACTCTCTCAACAACAAAACACATTATTCAAATACATGCACACATCATCTCACCTCTAGACAGAAAATGCAATATCACCTCTATCATTTGTCTATGAGCAACGACCCTCCCTCCAGAAGGTGCCGTAAATAAAATCAATAACTCACACAGACCAATAGCTGGCAGCTGGCGATAAGCAACCAATCTCAGTGATACATGACACAAGGAATGTTTCACACCAAAAATGACTTTGATACCTTTACAAATTGTAACAAAATAAATCAATTGATTATAAATTCATGTTTGTCTTTTTATCGCCATTTTTTAAATTTAGTAGTTCAATTTTTAGTAGCCCAGTAGAGGCCAAAGTGTGTATAATAAGTGCAGTGTAAATTTATCGCTTTGATTAGCGTTAA